GACAGAGTTCGTTGTGACCCTCTGCCTCAGTGCACGTTCGTCTCTGTGCATGCTTGGCTCGGCACGCGCGCTTTCTCTGTTGCGCACGTACACCAAGCTGCGCACGGAAATGTGTTGGACAATGATGCATTGGAACACGTTTCAGTGTCATGCAACGTAGAATCCTGCAATTGAATCAGCAGTGGACCAGCGTGGTCCGACATTGTATATCATTGTGGCGCAAGGTAGCTTAACCGATGCGGTGAAATTGAATCAGGGTTTAATGTCACTGGTAGTGGTAGAAGCATCCCTTATGTCTGTAAGTTCACGTTTCCTTCAAGTCCTTATGAGTGCACATAGATAGTTATGTGTATACATAGTCCTCCGAACCCCACAAGAACCCCCCTTTTCTCATCATTTCATACGAATTTATATATGATTCCCACGATTCCTGGATTCAATGTTGAGACTTTGTTTGGAAGATGTTTTGGGCTCAAGTTCGAAGCGATGTTCACCCCCTGCAAGTGCACCCGTTTCCACCAGCCCCAGATATTCAATCCCGCACTACACGATCCCGATACTCAACAGGCCCCCTCCCCAAGATGAACTTGAAAATAACCTTCTACTCAACTCCCTCCGTCTCCAACACAGCACCCAGTATTCAACAGCCTCCTTCTCCAACACAACACCCCATACTCAACAGGCTCCCCCCAAAGATGAACTTGAAAATAACATTCTACTCAACTCCTTCCGTCTCCAACACACCACCCAGTACTCAACAGCCTCCTTCTCCAACACAACACCCGATACTCAACAGGCCCCCTCCCAAAGATGAACTTGAAAATAACCTTCTACTCAAATCCCTCCGTCCCCAACACAGCACCCAGTACTCAACAGCGAACTTGAAGAAGGAACAAAAAAACTTCTACTAAACCCCCTCCGTCTCCAACACAGCACCCAGTACTCAACAGCCTCCTTCTCCAACACAACACCCGATACTCGACAGGCTCCCTCCCCAAGATGAACTTGAAAATAACCTTCTACTCCACTCCCTCCGTCTCCAACACAGTACCCAGTACTCAACAGCCTCCTTCTCCAACACAACACCCGATACTCGACAGGCTCCCTCCCCAAGATGAACTTGAAAATAACCTTCTAGTCCACTCCCTCCGTCTCCAACACAGCACCCAGTACTCAACAGCCTCCTTCTCCAACACAACACCCGATACTCCAGAGGCTCCCTCCCCAAGATGAACTTGAAAATAACCTTCTACTCCACTCCCTCCGCCTCCAACACAGCACCCAGTACTCAACAGCCTCCTTCTCCACATCAACACCCGATACTCAACAGGCTCCCTCCCCAAGATGAACTTGAAAATAACCTTCTACTCAACGCCCCGGCGTCTCCAACACAGCACCCAGTACTCAACAGCCTCCTTCTCCAACACAACACCCGATACTCAACAGGCTCCCTCCCCAAGATGAGCTTGAAAATATATTTCTACTCAACTCCCTCCGTCTCCAACACAGCACCCAGTACTCAACAGCCTTCTTCTCCAACAAAACACCCGATATTCAACAGGCTCCCTCCCCAAGATGAACTTGAAAATAACCGTCTCCTCAACTCCCTCCGTCTCCAACACAGCAACTGACACACAACACCCCGATACACAACACAACGCTTTGGCTCCAACCAACACAACACAACACAACACAACACGAGAACCGAAACTCAACGCGCTTCCGCCCCCCTTTTCTCGTGGCATCTTCCAAGAGAAAAGGGGGGTTCATGTGGGGTGCTGAGGCCTACATAAATATATATATATATATATATATATATATATATATATATATATATATATCACCTGAATCATACATACCAGACAGCGTGACACCCAATTGTGTGTTCTGCAGTGGATGGGAACAAATCATTGGAAAATGGGTTATAGCGCCATTACCATTCAAAGTCCGTGAGTTCCAAGCTGGGCACGATCGGTGGCTGCCGTTGAAAATGCGAAAATAAACGCGAACCGAAACTGCCTTCTTTTCAGCCTGAAGTCGTCGTGGCCTGGACTGCGCTCGGTCTTCTCTGAACGGCGGACTTCCAACGTTATGAATTGGTTTCGGTGCAGTTTCTGCCATCCACCGCTGCCATTACGCGAGGGCCTCCCAGACAGTGCCAGGCCCGCGTCATCTCTGGCGCATTGTATAAGATCTCCAGACAGACGATTTGGGGCGATTGATGACTCTTCAATGTTTTGGGAAGCTATCCTTATTGCCAGGTATACCATTTTCGGCAGATCCATCATACGTTGGATCAACCAGCACACTTTTCCTAGCGTCAGTACTTCTCCACTCCAGCCTGGCTAGGAGGAGGCGACGATGACATCGCCAGGAATGGCGTTCTGGGGAGATGCATCATGTAACGTTGGCAATTGGCTACCCTATCGCACATCGTAGCTGTCGAACTCGTTTCGTCTGAGCCAGGCTTCGGGCGCAACAAATCGCAACTTATCGACGTGTGCAACTGCTATTCCAACTGACCTGGCGCCTTCCCAGAACGTCACTTCTGGCCATACCAGCCTCGTTTCGCCCTCACCAAGCTCACGCGGAAAAGTCGCCACGCTACGACGGGCGCAACGAAGGGCCAAAGTCCATGCATCTTCCCAGAATGGCACATCCAGAGATCAGGTTAGCGCCCCGACAAAGAATGGCGCATTCCTGAGTCACCTACTGCCCCAAGATGAGTCCAGCGACGCGTCGCCCAGTGCAGTCTGGCACCAGCCGCTGAGGCCCACGTCAGTCCGGCGCAGCCCAGCTCGGGGCAGCTCAGTTTCAGCTCTGCTTCGACGCGCTAGTGCCACCCAGCCGACGAATCCAACGTCGCTCGACACCCGAGAAGCCCTCAGCTCAACGTTGTTGTAAGGCTTGCGCTTTCGCCAGGGCCCGCCGCGCAGCGTCGGGCCCGCATCATGTCCGGAGCCCTTGAAATTCAGCGCCAGCTCTGCTTCGACGCGGCTGCGCGACCACCCAGGCAGAGACTCCAGCGTCGCTCGACACCCCGGAAACCTCCAGTTTGGAGTTGCCAGGGAGCTCTGCGATTGCATTGAGGCCCCCCGGACAGCGTCGGCCCGCATGATGTCTGGCGCACTTCGCAAGATCTCCAGAATGACTATTTGGGGCGAGTGATGGCTCTTGAACTATTCGGAGGGCTACCTTCACCCCCAGGGATTGCATTCTTGGGACATTCATCATACGTTGGTGAAACCAGTACACATGTCCTTCCTCGCGCCACTACATGTCCGCCCCAGCCTGGCTAGGGCGAGGCGACGATAAGATCGCCGGGTGCATCGTGCACGCGGAGAACTGCTGCGCATTTCGCGACGCTACGACATCGCGCGCCCTAGCCTGTCTAAACGAAGCGACGTCGGCACCCACGAAGCGCGACAGGATTGCGAGTCCCCCGCAGCGCGAGTGCCACGTCGGAGACCTCGCCCAGGATTCCCACGCAAAAATGACGAGGATCATAACGCCGAACCGATTGAAGCAGTAACATTTAGATTATTTCATGCGGGGAGATCCCACGCCAATGCGTCATTCGCAACGTCGGTATTTCACAACCCTCTCGCATTACGCGGCCGCCGACATCGCCCCGTCTGAGCGCGGCTAGGACGCGACAAACCGCAACTCGCAAAGCATGCAAGAATTGCCCCCATGTACCCGGCGCCTTCCCAGAACGCCACTTTCGGCGATTTCATCGTCGCTTCGCCCCCGCCGAGCTCGCGCGGAAAAATCTGAGAGGTGCGACGGGTGAAACAACTGGTGAAAGTTCGCGCGCGCCCCCGAAATGTTACATCCGAAGACGAGGTAGGCCTCCTGACATGGAGCGCTGCACTCCTGAGTCAGAGCCCCAAAGCGAGTCCAGCGTCGCGTCGCCCAGCGCAGTCTGACCCCAGCCACCGCGGCCCACGTCAGCCCGGCGCAGCCAGGAGCAGCCCAGCACAGTTTCGGCTCTGCTTCGGCGCGCTGACGCGACCCAGCCGACGGACCCAACGTCGCCCGACGCCCTAGAAGCCTTCGCTTCAGAGTTCCCGGGAAGCCATGAATGGGAACAAAACGAAAATTCGCCGTAAAGTTGATATTGCGCCAGCCAAAGCCCGCGAGTTCCATGCCGGGGGCGATCGGCGGCTACCGTTGACACTGCAATAATTTTATAAACGCGCGAACCTCAAGGGCAGTTCATTCAGCCCGAGGTCGTACCGGCCTGGGCCGCGCTCAATCTATTTGAACGGCTGGTTCTCAACGCCACGACTTGGTCTCGCGTTCATGTCGTCTATCCACGGGAGCATGCTACGGTGCAACCAAGTTCTGTTCGCAGTAAGTGGCCATCTCCGTCGTTCGCACAAGCACCCCGACCACCCGCAACTTGGCCTGCCAGACCATGCGGCGACGACTGGGATGACTGCTCGGCGGTGGCTGGCGCATCGCCGCGACCGCGCCAGCGCGCTCAGGCTCGCGCGCAGAGCGGCCAACTAGTACGGCGCGACCGACGCGGTCGCGGTGGCGCTGACCGCCAGGGACTCCCCGGCGCGTCTCACAGGCCGCGCTGACACGCGACTCGGTGACTCTGGCGGTCGCGGCATCATGGCGACGTCGACAACGGTAGAGGCGATGCCGATTGCAACGACGCTGGCAACGATGGCGACACTCAGGACGGCGGCGACACTCAGGACGGCAAGCCACTGACGGCACCCATGTTGATCGCGCCGACGACGATGATGGCATCCTCGCGTCGACTACGAAGGTCGTGGACTGATTCCAAAATGCGCGCGCGGCCAGCGGGCACAAGTGACCCGCATGGCGTTCCATGACAGAGCCCCCCCCGATCACTGCGCGCGCAAAAAACTTGGCTGGTCGCCCGCGATAAAATGTTGACAGCCTTTGGCGCCATCACGAAGTAGCGAGGGCGCGCGCGCGGCCTTTTCTGAAAGCTCATATTGTAAAACATGCCCGTTTGCATG